GGAAAGTACTTTTGTTTTGCCAGATTAAAAAAAAATAGCAAGTCACACTTGAATATATAATGAGTGCAAAGGCCTTGTTTAGTGTGTGTGTGGTAGCATTTATTAATTGAAATATTAGCTTTTACAATTCCATGCTACTGACATTATCAAGTACACACAGGATTTATTTTATTCAGAAAAGCAAATGGTGGGGTGGTGGTGGGGATTTTCTGCTATGGTGATTGGTGCCTACCAAATTATAGAAGGGGTTGAGGTAAAGGCCTATAGAAATCCTATAGTGTATCACATCAATAGCTCTTTTTGTTAATGAGGAATATAAGGTGTAAAAGACCACATTATGTTTCTGTTAATATTTAAATATTTTCTTCAGGAAATTTACTGCATCTAATCACACTTCAAAAAGCAAGGAGTTTGCATTCATTTCCCCCCCTACAGAGAACAGTGGCAAGAATTGAAAGAAAAGATGAAGATGCTTAGAAGATTGGAGGCAGAGGTACAGGCAGGGTGCTTACTAGCTGGAATGGCCATACATTGTAGTGGATTGGTGTGGCTGCATCCACTCTAGTCACTATACCTGGCTCTTAGGTAGTGAGTTCACCAGCCCCAGTTAGTTCAATGTAACCAACAAGAATCAAGAGTCCTAGCCACTCCCCCTACCCCTTCTACCCCAAATCAAAAACCACTCTTAAAACAACAGTTAACCCACAGCTAAAAGAATGGCCCAGGTTTCATCAAACACTTATTTTGCTTTGAGGTTGGATTACATTATGCATAGATCTTTCTATGCTCAATACTTATCTACCTGTACTTATGAACATGCATTGTTTCTCATCACTCTTTACCAACAATGGCTTACCAAAAATGTAGCTATTTCACTAAAATTGACCGACAGAGTAAGCTCAATGCTAGAACACAAGAGACAGGAATGTTTTCCTTTAGGCGTAAGTCCTGATGCTGCTGGAGTGCTGGCTGAGCAAGGACTGACAGTTTTTGGTGGTTCAAGAGGTGTTTGACACATATTAAAAAAAAAAAAAGACATTTTACCTAGAGTCTAGTAACCAGTTAAATGAATGAGGGACAATTCATTTAATTCCTTCTAAGGTTTAATTAATTCCTTCTAAGGTTTAGTTCAAATTCTTACTCAGAATTGTGATATTATTCATAGAACTAGTATAGGGAATAAAAAGACTTCATAGACACAGCATGACCACAGAGGCTTACTAATATGGCAAAAAAAAAAAAACAATAGATGAAAGCAATGATCTGAGTCATTTCCAAGATTCTTAATGATTAAGCAGGTTTACCTTCTTACCTAAAGAATGCAGTACAAATTGATTATTCCAAGTTAGTTAATGGATATCTCCTTTTCATTGTTGTTTCTCTGACCTCATCCCCTATTGAAAACTTTGTCATGTTTACCAAACTCCATTAACTTCAAGTAATTTGAATGACACATTTGATTTTCGCTTATTCCTCAACCCTTCATATAAGTTAGTCTTTTTCAACTAGGATAATTGGTTAAGTCGGAAGTATAACAAAGTTCTAATTCCCTGGCTGGGCTGTCATGACTGGCAAGTCAAGGTCTTCTCTTCCAGTGCAAGTAAATTCACTGGACAGATTATAATAGAGCAGTTCATCTCATTCGATCTGTTCTTCCATATACATAACACAAGTCAATGTTTGTTATGACTTTCCTGATCCTTATTTATAAGACAATACAAGAGGAAACCATGTGTGTATGTTTGAAATAGAAATGATACATTGCACAGATATAGTTCACCACGTTCTGGGATGGGTTGGTTCAGTGTTCAAATGGGGAGTCTGAAGAGTAGGAACAGATGCTTTTTTTCCTTAATGGCCCTTTCTCTAATTTAAAATCCTTCCATTTATTTCCCTAAGATTTAGTGATAACTTTAAACACTTTAACTAAATTACCCAGCGGCTTGGCAGCCATCACGGAGACAAATCTTTTTAGAAATCCTAGCAATCTGTTAGATCATGGGTACTATGATATAAAATCTTCGTGTTCCATGTACAAAAATTAAATCGATGCAATAGATACAAATACGTGCTGCAAATGGCATTGTTTCCAAACCAAGGGGACATGACCTGTCTCCAAATATTGAATATCTACATTTTTTTTTCCAGTAGTTGACTTTCTAAATTTGGGCCAATTTATTCTCATTATCCCTAAATAGACCTACTTTGATTTTTTTTTAACAGTTATTTTATAGTCAAATAGAGCCAGCCAGCCCTGATTCATGGATCTGGATGTTGCTAGGATACATGGTTTGGTATTTGATGAAAGTATATCACTTCAAAGGGAAAAACTTTCAAGTGTCCTAGAAAATGACATTCTGTTTTCCACCCTGGAAGACAGAATCAATCCTAGAGCTTCTCAGAAGCTCACAGACTGCAGGATTGGCCTTCCAGTGCTTTGAAATTAGCATCCTCTCTGGAGGGCTATTCAATTGCTGCTACTAGTCAGGTTGATCTTAAAGCAAGGAACACACGTATTTATAATAAAACACGTTTTCATGTTTGTTTTACAGTGAAGAGAAAAAAACCCAGAACCCCCAGATTTTATGTACTTTGAAAATATATTTAAAAACATTAAAAATTCTATATTTAAAACATATATTATATGTTAATTGGTACACTTAAATAGAACTTGTATTTACAATAGGCTTCTGATGCGGTTAAGTTTTAATGCCAAATTTTTTCAATAACATAATTATATAAATATACTAAAATACAATAAATATTTTTTTCTTGTTTTACATGGTGAATAATATCTTTACCATAGAGAGAACAAGGCCACAGACATTTACTTACATTTTCAATGAGAATCACCATAAAAAAGCAACAGGCCTGCTGCCATGCATGAAACACTTCTGCCACAAAGAGACCACAGCAAGACTTTAAAAACAGAACAGAACAGAACAGAACAAGAACGAACAGCAACAGAGAGAGAGAGAGTTTAACAAAATAAATCTTAGTTCAACATAAACCACCAAGCATGTGACTGTGATGTATCTCATTGGGTAAGAGAGAGCCACTGACCACACAATTGCTGAAATGTCTCCTGCGAAACTTAACAGATCTGGCCCCTGCAGTACCTTAAGATTGTGGATAGGGACTTGTTTGTTTTTTAAATGTTGTCCCTCAAAAGGAAGCTGCGAAAAGTTAGCATACAGCAGACATTCCAAAAGCATTCCTTACAGATGAAAAATAATTACAAAGATAATATTGTTGAACGGCACAACAAAACAAACCTATACTACATAAAGTCTTTCTTCATTTAAAGATAGGTATTCAGATTGTACTCTAGAAGACAGGCTACCTCTAAACGAAAGACAGAAATTTGCTGACAGCATCTTCACTCCCTGGGTCACAATGGACATCCTTGTTTGCTTATTCCTCACCCTGCAACAATTGCTTGCAGCTTTTTCTGATACTCTAGGACACTGTTCCAGGTGGTAAACACTATCATTTCCAGGTGTGGAAGTGAGCTGAATGGGTAGATAGGCTTAGCACTAATTTTCACTGGGATCCACTTTTCCCAGGAACACTATTTCAGATTCCTAATTTGACCTCTCCTAACCCGAAATGGTAGAGGTGAAGCAGTGACCCTCTCCTTGAACAGACAGAATGGGCAGGAGGTTGCTGTGACCTTCACTTGGGGAGCAAAGCTTTGTCAGCTCTGTTCTGGCCTCTTCTATGGAGCCAGGCACCTTCCCAAGTCTTGTCTCTGGACAAGATTTCTATCTTTTTTTCAGGCCTTCATCATTCAGCCTGAGTTTGGGGGCCTTTTCCTGTTCTCTCCTTTGACCAAAAGTTCTCAAAATATAAAACCCTGGTTTCCTCAAGTGTAGTTTCAAAGCAAGTATGTGTTCTTGTAGCAGACATCTTCTATTTCATTGCATCAATCTCATGATAGCAAATGCCACATTTGACTCCAAATCTGCTCCAGGCTAGTCCAACTTTATGCACAATTATCCAGGAGAGGAATGGAGGGCATAAGTCAGCTTGGGTATGGTCCTCCAGTGGAGAACCTCTTGAGCACAGTTAGATAATGTAGGCACTTAAAGCATGAGGTCCAAGCAACTTAACACATGTCATTCCAGAGCCACCTCTGAAGGGTGCTTCTGAGGCTTTCCTCTTGGAAAGTCTTAAGTGCCATTCCCCACCTCTACCTAGGCCTTGGGATGGCCACTCAAAAATTCCTCCTGCATTGCCCGGAAATGGTACATTCTACCCAGCCTCCACGGGGCTGTTTAGACTCATTTCACTGGCTCTGATCTAGGTGTTTCTGAGTTCATACAGAACTCTACCTTTCACTTGCAAGACACCGTGAAGTCTTACCATATTTTTTTAAAGCATTACCATGATTTACCCAAATGTTTACTCCTCATAAAAAAGAATCTTGATTTCTGGGTTACTTCCTGATGTTCTTTTTTTCTCTTCTTTAAAAAAATAAAAATCACTGTTTCCACAAGTGCCACAATGTGACACAATTTATTCACTTGTTCACCACAGTGGTAAAATATTTTTAGGGCACGAGATTCATTTTTCTTCCTTAAGACAAAGCAAAACAACGAGGGAATCAAAGGGGAGGGAGGGAAAGAATGTGCTTTGAGCAAATGTAGGTTCTTCCAGTAAAAGATGCTTTCCCTAACCCACATCCAATGGGTTGGGGGAGGGGGATCTGGGAGGTGCATCATGGGAAGTGGAGTGTGAGCATTTTATGCAGTTGCCTTAATTTTTATTCACTTTCCGGTCATCTGATTGATATTGCAAACAACTTTACAACATATAAATGTATCTTTTATAAACCAGAATAGACACTGAAGAAGTTCTTTGCCCATCCCTACTCCCTGTGGGACTAAAAAAAAAAAAAAAGAAACAAAACAAACAAACAAACAAAAGAAAACACAAAACAAACAAAAATATACCCCTCCCATCCCCCATCCCCCTAAGCCAGTAAAGCAATGACAACAGCACCTTGACATTGTTTTAATTCCAACGCTATCAGAAGTTAAAAGCAGTAAAACAGATATAGTACTAACAAGAACGAAGATACTTACTGTCTAAAATGTAAACGGAATGTTTTGGTTCAAATTTTTGTTTTTTTGTTTTTTGTGTTTTTGTCTGTTTTCTGAAAGAGGACAGTTTATTATCAATTCACAATTAAAGCAGCATGCAATTTATTATTATTTTTTTTTAAACTTTTTATGTTTTCAATTCTTGGCAACGGCAACAAACCACAACATTATCGAGGAATGTAATGCAGACTTTTTAAAGTTGTGCGCAAATGACTGTTTCCCTTCTGGTCATGGATATGTCCAATAAATAGATTGTAGAACCACTGTACTGTATAAACTTCATTTATACATGCAGTTCATAAAATTATTTTTTTTTTCTTAACTGAATAATTTACCCTGTTATGTATATATACAAATAGAATAATTTTTGTCTCAATATAATCTATACAACATAAATCCACTATCTTCCCCTCTTAATGGTCAATGTACATACACAGGAAGTGTCTATCCTTATGAACCGCCAGCCAATGCGCTTTTTGCTATCCATGGTGAGGGCCCGCACGTACGACTGGGTAGTTCGGCACTGGGAGTTCCAGTGCCTTTTGTCTATGCCCCTGCAGCCTTCTTTCGTGTAGCCCATGGGATTGCACTTGGTCTCGTAGAAGTATTGCTTCAGTTGGCCTTTCGACACAGGGACTTTTTCCAGGACGGTGACGGTGCCACCCGACATGTCCACTGCAGTCTTTTTATCTGCCGCTGTTACCCACTCACTAATACTGTCACACACACTGAGCTCCCCGCGGCGGGCAGGGTCGGAGTGGCGCCGGACCCTCATAGACATGTTTGCAGCATCCAGGTAATTTTTGTATTCCTCAAGCAGAAAGAGAAGAGGAGGCTCCAAAGGCACTTGACTACTGAGCATCACCCTGGAAGTGTACAAGTCCGCGTCCTTATTGTTTTCTTCATGGGGCCGAACTTTCTGGTCCTCATCCAACAGCTCTTCAATCACGTGTTCAAAAGTGTCAGCCAATGAGGTGAGGCCTCGTGAACCTGCCTTGGGCCCATTCACGCTCTCCAGAGTCCCATGGGTCCGCACACCTGGGTAGGCCAAGCTGCCTTGTCCTCGGACGTTGGCTTCTTTCATGGGGGCAGCCTTCATGCAACCAAAGTATGAAATAACCATAGTAAGGAAAAGGATGGTCATCACTCTTCTCACCTGGTGGAACTAAAGGAGAAAGCAGAAAAAAAAATACAAAGAAACTGGTTAGGTCTTTTCTCTCTCTCTCTCTCTCTCTCTCTCTCTCTTTTTTCTTTTCCTCACAGGGATACCATGTGGCCCATCTGATTGTAATTCCAGACTATTCTGCGGGGTCAAGGTTTTTTACGTCTTGGTGATCAACTCCAGCTGCACTAGACACAAATCAATGTCAGTAGTGTGCAATATGTGGTTTAATATAAACCAGAGACATGCAGTGTTCTCCCCAGGACTTAGCATATAAACCTGAGATTAAATGGCTTCTAAGCAAGTGAAAAAATTGTGGCTTCATTTCTCCTCTTTCCTCCCACTTTAGCAGCTTCATAAGTTTAATTTTTAATGATCTATGCTCATGCTGTCACAAGAAACACAAAATCAGAAATGTTACTAAGCAACAATTGCAAGCGAAGTGTTTTTTTCAAGTTAGCAATGCTGTCCCTTTGTAGGAATGTGTGACAAAAACAGCAGTGGCCTGAGGGATCCGATGGATCTCTCTGGCTATGTGATGCCTAGTCATGAACAGCCATCAAAGAGCTATAAGGAGCCTTTACATTATTTTTCTTCTCTCACAGAGATAATCTATTATAGTGAAGATGATAGATATTTCTACTGGATTTTACAGACAGGGAAAACAAAGACCATACAGGACTGGCCTTGTGTCATTAAAAAAAAAAAAAAGTTTATATTAGAAATCGGGGTTCTCAAATCCAGTGTTCTTTCCACTACACCTGGGTGGTCATCACTAAAAATGTTTTGCTTATTCCCAAACAGAAATCATTTTCTCTACATTCATTCTAATGATGTTTCTATGCCTGAGGCTGATGTCATGAAAACAATGTGTCAACTTAGAAAAAACTGGAAAAGTCAGCATTAACAAGGAATTTAAGTCAATTTCAAATGCCTCCCATATGCAGACTCCGTGTTTATCTCCACAAATTCTCTGAAGCCCTCACCCTTTGACTTTTCTGCCTAGTATACTGATCTAGCTAGAAAGTTCAACTTCTCTTTTTATTGGTCCTGTGTGTGTGTGTAAACTCTTGAGTTTATCATGACTTTAAAAAAATCTGAGTTGTATTTTACACACTTTGGAATAGGCAGTTAGTGCTTCTTTCTGTGCGTTTGAAGTTTCCTGGGAAGTCCCTTAATGGCACACCACAAAATTAATCTCTTCCTGTTTGCCAGAAGGTTTCTCTACTAAATTTGGCTCTACATCTGCAAGCATTCTCTAGGAAGCCAATTAGGATAAACGAATAAGTAAAATGAAAACATACCTATGGACCAACCCAAGGTCACCATCAGGTGTTGAAGGACTTAAGAATCACTTACCTGCAGTACTGTGTCCCTTAGTAGTAAAGAGTAGCATTCCCCAGCCCTGACACTCTAACTTTATTTATTCCAACTTATCAGTTCCAGAGCATAGACTTATAAAAAGACAGACATACTCTCATGTGCACACGTGCGCATGTGCACACACACACACACAAACACAAACACACACACACACACACACACACACACAAAGTGTCATCATGCTGTGAAAGTCCCTAGGAAAAGAGATTATTTCTGCCCATTAAGTGTTACTAAACACAAAGCCAACCTACCTCCAGTCACTAAGCCATAGTGCAGAAATGGCTGAAGATCGCCTTCCATTTCCATGCGAGGCGATCTTCAGCCATACAGCAATCTGTATACGGGGTAAAGTTGGGAGTTCATAACCCGCTTGAATCAAACTGTGAAATATGATGTATTAAGAACTATGTAATGTTTTGAACGACCAACAATAAAAAATAAAATAAAATAAAAAAATTTAAAAAAGCTAGTATATCTGGAAGAGAAAAAAAAAAAAAAGAAATGGCTGAAGACTTTTGTATTGAAAAATCAAATGTTTCTGTGCTCCACTTTTGAAAGAGAGAACATTTTCTACCACCAAGAAACTATATCATCCCTAAATACCAATTTCTTCGTAGATTCACTCTCAATTTGCACATAAGCAAGCAAACTCATAAGTGTATGGACAGCACAGTGATCTGAGATTAGGAAGGGCAAGTTGGTTTGTATTAAATATGGTTGTTCATTCTGCTAATATTTAAAGTTTTGTAAATATTCTGGATTCTGCATCATCAAAGAAATGGATCCTCCAAGGAGGTTTCTATTCTGGGCAGGCGGTATTTCCATCATTGAATGAAAGAAAACCCTTTCTCCTAATAATCCCAGTCCAAATTAAAATAACCCCAGGGCATCCTCATATTTAGGTCAATTAAAGAATGCAAATTTAGGAGACTTTACTATAGTCGCCTATATCATATTGGTGGAAATCTGCTGTTATCAATAATTTTTAATACCATTACTTACAAATCTATGATACCATCAATTTAAAGCCCACCATTTTATGTAATGCCAAAAAAGAAAACTGCAAACTATTGCTTTGTGTTTAGAACTTTTATTCCGTATTTACAGAAAGAGTTATTTTTGACTTATCTGGAAGCATTTTTTTCCTATATAATTTTGTGCATACTTTTTAAATAAAGCAAAATAAATTTCTTAAGGCAGTGGCAGCTATGCAGTGACTAGATAACCAGCAATAACGAGATAATGTCAAGATAATGGAAGATGCAAGCCCACTGGACAAATGTTTTTTAAGAAGTGAATTTTAGAATGAATGACATGTTAATTTAATAAGTGTTTACTCATACTAACTGTGTATAATGGTGTGAGGTACTGAGGCATCTTACTTTACTTTATTATCACTACACTAATGAGTCTTTTAATGATACCTTTTTCTATCCTTGACATGAGGTTTACTCTGCCTTTCACTGGTCTCATTTACCTTTTTATTAATAGCTTTATTAGAAAAGTAATTAGTGCTTTACGGATGATTTTCTCATCAGTGCCACAAGCAAATACTCTGAAGAAACAACTGGCATCTGAATAAATATCACTTGGCTTTCATTGTAAGTCCAAACATGGCAGCATCCAAAGCTGAACATCAGCAGAGATTCAGTTATTGACTACATGCTGATAAAGTCAAACCCCACACCACCAGCCCTGCCCTCTGAGCGGCACTTCTGCAAGTCTGTCTACCTATACTAAGGACCTCAAGTAAATGAATGCAACAACAAACTCAATACTTTCTGTCAGAACAAATGGTACTTGCCACCTTTTCTTTTTTTAACAACATTTTCTGATATTTTGGGAAATCCAAGTGGAGGCTAGAAATTCTGGAATGAAGTTTGAACATGAATTGCCTAGTCATGTTTTCCTTCAAAATATTTCTACTATCAATCCCTTTTTTTCCTACCCCACTTCTCCACCTTGGCTCAGCCCTCACCATCTCATTTTGTGACTCTAATGTCCCTTTACTGTATTGGACATCCTTATAGCTCCATTCAACTCTGATGAACATTTCCTGATGGACCACTCTCATGTTATTGTCTTACACAAAAATTTGCAATGATTTTTTTGTTCCATCAGACCAAATCTAGCCTCGTATTCAACACTGTCCAAGATCTGGCCTCACTCTACTTAGCTAACTTTCCCATATTACTCAATGCTTCACTTTCTTATTATTGTGGTTCATCACTGCTGATCTGATCAGGCCAGAGCGCTTTGTTGTTTGGAAGTGACTTGTTTTGCTTATTTTGACAAGTCAATTGATTGATCAATCAATCAATCTCTCCCTCCCTGCTTCCTTCCCTTTCTTTCCCTAACTCTACCTAAATCTTGCTTACTCTTCATTGACCTGGTTCAAGCATCGTAGCATACCTGCCACCTTCTCTAATGAATCTAGTACACACTGCCTTCTTCTTTAAAATTCCCCATTATTACTTTATTTAGAACTTCATTCCCTACTCACTCATTAATGGCATTTGCTAATTAAAACTAGTCTTCAGTTGGAAGATAAACTCTCTGAGGGACTGGATCATGTTTGATCTCCCATAATGCTAACACAGAAAATTTAGTAGTAAGAATTAGTAAAAACTTACTAATAGGTTTATTAAACCAGGAGAAAAAGACAGTTCTGACATAATTTTCATAAAAGCCTTTTTCTTTGGAAAGAAACAGTGAACACAGTGAAAGTTTCAGGTAAATTATGGGCTGTACTAACCTAAATTATAAGCTCTAAGGAATTTGACAATTGGCAATTATGAGCCACAATTTCTTGAGTTCTCTGAATGGGGTAAAACTTTGAATAAGTAAAAAGCAAACAATGCTACTATATATTAACTGCTCTGCTATATCCTGTGTCGCTCTGTTTCTAATGGATCTATGGGAGACTTGGAAAGTGATCAGTATTAGTAGTAATAAGAGCAGAACTTAGAAATTTCAATCTTTTAGCTTCCCTTTTCTTGTTCTTCAGTGCTCTTCAGTGAGTATCTTATATACCATACTTAGAAATTACAAAAGATTAAGAGTTTTCTGCCCCTTGAGATGAGTCTTGATCAATCAAAAGATACAGAGCCAGTGTAATATTGCTGAGTAGATCATTAGTCTATATATCTATTTTCAGTTAATAAATGCATTGGCACTATCTAATTTTTTAAAAAAAAATTAAAAATACCTTTGATTTATTTATTTTTATATGGTGCTGAGGATTAAACCCAGGGCTCACACATGCTAGGCGAGTGCTCTGCCACTGAGCCACAACCCCAGCCCCGTACTATCTAATTTTGTTCCAAGGCTCACAACAACCAACTCAACTACATTAATAAAATGCTAGGAAGATTTTCTGAGCCCCACTCTCAGTAAATTCAATATAATATAAAGGGCTAAAAAGAAATCAACAAAGTAGAAAAGAAGTTTAGCTTGAAGCATGACTCACAGGTCTTAAACCTTCAACAGGAAGAATATCCATCACAGCATGCTTTCCTGCTGTATAGTATGACAATAATTCACATTTTTCCAAAAGACTACAGAATATTCATAAATACCATCTAATTTCATTGTTATAAGGAGACAGTCGTTGTTATTCC